ATATCTGATTCTCAGTCTGCTTTTATCAAAGGCAAACATATTCTAGATAGTATCTTGGTGGCTAATGAAGTGGTGGCTCAATGGCACATCAACAATATTCATATAGAATCCTAACACAACTTCACAACATACTACTTGACTCAAATTTCAACTAGCAACTCAAACATAATTACCAACATATAACTTATCAACATTTAACATATAAAGTTTCTTATCATACAATAACATCTTTACAACTTATTCATCATCATTTAACCATAAAACAACTCAAACAACAAGCTTTCAACATACAATTAATTCATCAAGCAAGCAACCAACTCAATTAGAAAAAGACTAAGTCTCACGCTCAGCGCATAACTCACACTTAGCCTCAGCCTTCTAGAGGCACATCTCAAGTCTCACACTAAGTGTGAAACTCACGCTCAGCCTTAACCTTCTAGAGGCACATCTCAATCCTCACGCTCAACCTTAACCTTCTAGAGGCACATCTTAGCTCTCACATTTAACGTGAAACTCACACTTAGCTTCTACTTCCTAGCAACACTTCCAAACTCTCACACAAAGTGTGAAAACTCATGCTTAGTGTCCCAAACCCAAAAACTCATACATGAACCCAATCTCCAAATCCTCTTAGCCTATGCAATAATCAAGACATGCAACCCCAAAATCTTTCAACTCTAACAACATATAACTCAGAAAATCAAAAGAAAAGTAACATGCATCAACCACTACTCAAAGAAATCATCAACATTTTAACCTCTCATCAAGAGCATCAAAACCTTAATTTTTAACATGCAACCCTTTTGAATCCATCCCCACAACTACATATTTCAGAAATTCTATCAACATTAAACTTTTAATTCATTCAATAGCCCAACGTTTCAACCAAAATCCAAGATTTTAGCTTCTCTTACCTTAGAACGCAATGAAACTAAAGAACTCCAAGCTACTCTAAGATAGAAGGAGAAGGAAATGGGCTTCGAACTCTAACATTCCGAGCTTTGCACCTACTCAACGTGATTCTTAGCTCCCAATTGCTTTGAATCATCACCAACTATAAAGTCTCAGAGAAGAAGAAAATCAACTAGCAACTCAAACATAATTACCAACATATAACTTATCAACATTTAACATATAAAGTTTCTTATCATACAATAACATCTTTACAACTTATTCATCATCATTTAACCATAAAACAACTCAAACAACAAGCTTTCAACATACAATTAATTCATCAAGCAAGCAACCAACTCAATTAGAAAAAGACTAAGTCTCACGCTCAGCGCATAACTCACACTTAGCCTCAGCCTTCTAGAGGCACATCTCAAGTCTCACACTAAGTGTGAAACTCACGCTCAGCCTTAACCTTCTAGAGGCACATCTCAATCCTCACGCTCAACCTTAACCTTCTAGAGGCACATCTTAGCTCTCACATTTAACGTGAAACTCACACTTAGCTTCTACTTCCTAGCAACACTTCCAAACTCTCACACAAAGTGTGAAAACTCATGCTTAGTGTCCCAAACCCAAAAACTCATACATGAACCCAATCTCCAAATCCTCTTAGCCTATGCAATAATCAAGACATGCAACCCCAAAATCTTTCAACTCTAACAACATATAACTCAGAAAATCAAAAGAAAAGTAACATGCATCAACCACTACTCAAAGAAATCATCAACATTTTAACCTCTCATCAAGAGCATCAAAACCTTAATTTTTAACATGCAACCCTTTTGAATCCATCCCCACAACTACATATTTCAGAAATTCTATCAACATTAAACTTTTAATTCATTCAATAGCCCAACGTTTCAACCAAAATCCAAGATTTTAGCTTCTCTTACCTTAGAACGCAATGAAACTAAAGAACTCCAAGCTACTCTAAGATAGAAGGAGAAGGAAATGGGCTTCGAACTCTAACATTCCGAGCTTTGCACCTACTCAACGTGATTCTTAGCTCCCAATTGCTTTGAATCATCACCAACTATAAAGTCTCAGAGAAGAAGAAAACAGAGTCTCCGAGCATGAATCTTCCTTTAAAAGTATGAGAAGAAGAAGAAGAAGTGTTTAGATATTTTCCGTCGGAAACATCTTTACAACTTATTCATCATCATTTAACCATAAAACAACTCAAACAACAAGCTTTCAACATACAATTAATTCATCAAGCAAGCAACCAACTCAATTAGAAAAAGACTAAGTCTCACGCTCAGCGCATTATTTGGCTTATAAAAAAAATGTACACTAATTCTTGATCTATGTTATTAATTTTCTGTTTGATAGTTATAGATTTTCTATCTATCATTTTGCTTTTGCGGAAAAAAAAAATGCATATAGTTCAAATTTTTTATTATCAATGGTACACTTGTTTTTAAAATGGTAGGATTTATTTGTTCTGAATAGGAAATCTGTTTGTTAACAACATCTCTTAATGAGAATTGTTTATCTAAGTTATATGTATTACTTAATAATAAAATATTTATTTAGTGCGTCAATGTAATTTTAAAATTACTTAAATTATATAATTATTTATATTAATAAGTATTTCTTATGAATTGCTTAACGTTTTTGTATGTATATGCAGAAGATATGTTATTTGTGGAACTTGTTAATAGAAATTCTTATTAGAGTAAAAATTAAGTAAACCGCTTAAAGTCAAGGTGACATATATAAATTCACTTAAAAAGAAGTAAGTTATTTATTTAGAAAATATTTGATATGTTTTAATGTTGTGTTTGGTAGTAAGGATGGAAGTGAAGGGAATAAGTAAGAAATAAAGTAGAAATGGAATAAAATATAAGAAAATGAGAGAGATGATTAATTTTTTTTTGGGTTTATATTGGATTAAATTAAAAAGTTAAAATGATATTATAGATTAATATACAAATATCTGTCTCTACAATAATTAAGTTTTATATTAAGATATTTTTATTATTAATTAAATCTAAATAATCAATTAAATGAATTTTAGAGTACTAAAATGTGCCTCAGTTGATATAATTAACCATATTCATCACATAATCGATTATGATTACTCGCAATATCACATAAACTCTTTGAAATTCAAATTTTGATTTTTATAATCTATTATGTAGTTGTCACACTGAATTGTGATTGTTTACAATGACATTATAGAATCACTAGAACTCAAAGTTGAGCGAGAAAAGTGAGTTTATTAGGTACTCATGTGTGTTTAAGAAGGTTAAAAGAGTATTAATTTTTTCATACTTCCCTTCAAACCCACTATCTTCAAAGGGTGTAAATAACCGTTTGAACCAAACCTTTTTTCATCTTTCTTCCCTTTTTTTTTGTTATACCAAACAAAAAAAATTATCTATTTTTCACTATATTCCCTCCAATTTCATGATGATCCTCCCTTCTACACAAATTCATTGCATTAAATGGAGTGTAAGTGATGGACTATTTAATTTTACAATTTTGTACCGTCAATTGGTGATTTATAATTGGAACCAAATGATTCAATTATGACATACTAAGATAGTGTGACGTTTGATTTGGTATCAACAAAATTTCGATGAAATAGTGGAAAAGACAATAAAATGATGAATAAATTAATAATAATAGTCGTTTACAAGCTTAGAAATAAAAAAGAAAGTGCGAGTCTCACACATTTTTTTTTATTTCTTTACAAATCAACACATAAATGAATGATATATCTAAAATACTATTCACAATAGATTAAAAAAATACTGACAATCAATTAAATCATTTTTATACATAAAATTGTAAATCTCTTTCATTTAATTAATTAAATAAAAAACAATCATTTTCTATTTAATTAATTAAATCAAAACTATTAATTCATTATTTTATTAAAAATTGATTTAAAAAATATTTATGTATATTTATCTTATTTCTTTTCTATTTCTCATAAACCAAATGTTTTTATTTCTATTTTAATTTTTTTTACTTATTCCTATTCCCTTATTATTTTTCTTTTCTATTTCTCCCCTATTTTTTTACCCATTTATTCCCTATCTATCATCAACGTTCAACAAATAATTATCTGCATTCCCTAGACTGAAAAATCAGTTTATAGAATATAAATAAATTTCAACTCTTATAAATTTTGATTTTTAAATGTGTTTGATAGATAACTTAATTAAGTATTAATTTAATCAATGTTTACCATGCAAGTGCTTATGTATAACTATTTCCATAATTAACGAGAAAATACAACTTATTTTATTTAAATTACGAGCTGTTTGCTATAAATTGTTTTAAAGAAAATATTAAAATAAATTGAAATAATTTGTCAATATATTATAAGTTGTTTTTATAGACTTTCCTACATATCAATACAACTATTTATAATTTGAGATAATCTTAAATAAATAATAACAAATTCTTCCACCAAAATCTAATAGAGCTACTAGTATCTAATATAATTCAAGTATATTTAGGATATGGTTCACTTTTGAAATCCCTAATTTTATATTGAAGTGAAATTAAGAATTGAGTTTCCTTATAAGCAAATGGACACGAACTCATTGCTTATAAGCGTTGGCGAGGCATGAATATAGAAAGGGCAAAGCAGTCCAAGGAAGTGTTTCAACAACCAATCAACTAAAAGACCGTCTTTTTCAGCAAAAGCAAAATGACAACCAAGAATCCTTCACACTAAAGCTGCAACACACGAATTATTGTACCAAAATTAATAATCATATAAATTTCTCTTTATCTTTCACCTTTTCGTTTTCTTATTTTTCTGTAATTAAAAACTTTGCAAAATAAGTTAAAATAATTTTGTACTATTAATATCCTCATGCTTCATTTTTTTGTTGTAATTTCATGGATTGAATAGAGTATGATGTAATTGTAGGTCCTGGTTTAACCTTTTTTGTCTCGCATCCTTATACCCCACAAAGTGTGGTGTAATAAGTAATAAATAACTCATATTGAACAACTCAACTCGTGTGTTTGAAACAGTACCAAGATTCGAATCTTGGGATGAGAACATTCTATCACGAGAAGCATATCCAACGGCCATGATGCAGCGATGCCACATAGCCTTAAAAAATTCCATGGCATAATTCCCACAGCCTCCACCATTATAACAAACCTACGTTACAAGCCTCTCTCACTATTCTCTAAGCCCCGTAATTCGCCGAATCTGCACCAATCATTCTCTTCTCTCTCTCAACAACAGCGACTACCACTCTCTCTCTCTCTCTTCCACCGCCGGTGAAACTCCGTTTCGGTGGCGGGAACGAGGTTTGACCGTTAGGTGAATCCTTTATGATGGAGGTTTCGGTTGCGACGCCGAGAAAGACCCTGGCGGAGAAGGTCTTCGGATATGGGAGTAGCAGCCAGAAGAGGCGCGGCAATGACGCTCACAACACGCACGACGATGATAACGACGGAGGCATGGAACTCATGGAGATTGGCGCTGAGAGGACCAAAAACGTGTTGATTCTCATGAGTGATACCGGTGGAGGTCACAGAGCTTCCGCTGAAGCCATTCGTGACGCTTTTCGAATTGAATTCGGTGACCAATACAGGGTACTCTATTAATCACTTTTCATTTTCCTTTCTTAATTCGGCTTTCTCACAGATCCCATCGGTGATAAAATCTAAATGAATAATGTTGTTAAGAGTTTTGGTTTTTTTATTTTAATCTGTTTCATTTTTCCAGCTAAAAATTATGTTAAGTTTGTCACTGTTATTTTTCTTTAGTTTTTTTTTTTTTAATTTGCTCCGTACAACAGTTTTCTGGTCGGAGATATTTTTGTGCGGTCTGTGTGTTTTTGTCGGGTATTGCTTTGTGGTCACACGGACTTTGTCGACGTTTCATTTTTTTGTTTATTGGAGTTATTTGCGCAGTTTTTTTTTTGTTTTTGTTTTTTGGAAAGAAGAAGTTCGTGCCAATAGCAAGTGTTCGTTTCATTTATGCTTCGGCGCTGATTGATTGATTAGGGAACATTTTTAATTTTTCAGATTTTTGTTAAAGATGTTTGGAAGGAATACACGGGGTGGCCGTTGAATGACATGGAGGGGCAATATAAATTCATGGTTAAGCATGTACAGCTATGGAACGTTGCGTTTCATAGTACTTCTCCTAGATGGATTCACTCTGTGTATTTGGCTGCCATTGCTGCTTACTATGCCAGGTACATTTTTCTTCTAATACTTTTATTATTGTGACTAACTTTGATTAGTGTAGTTTTGCCAACAAATTTTGATGTAACTTTATGGTTAAAAGGGAGGATGACCTTATGGACAACTCGGCCTTTAATTATTACTATTCTTTTGTCAATATTGTAATAATGGTCGTGCCCATTTGCCGCGCAAGATAATTACTAATAACAATTGGTTTCTCTGTAGCTGTAAATTTTAATAATAATAACTCTGTTTTCTAATTGGCACTGCACTCTTTATTTTTCAGGGAGGTGGAGGCAGGGCTGATGGAATACAAGCCAGATATCATCATCAGTGTCCATCCCTTGATGCAGCATATTCCGTTGTGGGTTTTAAAGTGGCAACGTTTGCAGAAGAAAGTGATTTTTGTCACTGTGATCACGGACCTTAGTACGTGCCATCCTACATGGTAATTTCACTGCAACTTCATATTTTCTTGCTTTGAAATGAAGTCCATTACATGCCCTAAAGTTTATCTTTTAAGCTCTTTCCAGGTTTCATCCTTGGGTGAATAGATGTTACTGCCCTTCACAGGAGGTGGCCAGTAAAGCCTCACAAGATGGTCTTGAGGAATCTCAAATCCGAGTTTATGGCTTGCCCATCAGGCCTTCTTTTGCCAGGGCAGTTCTTGTGAAGGTATGCATATTAAAGTGATAGGTGTAGTTTTGTTTTCAATATTGTTGGAACTGACTTTGTCTTTTACTATAGGATCAATTAAGAGAAGAACTCGGGTTGGATCCCAACTTGCCAGCAGTTTTGCTGATGGGGGGTGGTGAAGGAATGGGTCCTGTCAAGAAAACTGCGAAGGCTCTAGGAGAATCACTTTTCGATAAAGAAGCTGGGAAACCAATTGGGCAGTTAATCATCATATGTGGTCGTAATAAGAACTTAGTATCAACCCTTGAATCTCTTGAATGGAAGATTCCAGTAAAGGTAAGTTGCTTCACTTTCCTTAAACCTGAGAAAGTGAATAGTACTGCAGATGAGCATAATGGAATGCCATCCACTGAAACTTTGTTTCTTGGTTTATGTAGGTTAGAGGATTTGAGACCCAGATGGCCAAATGGATGGGAGCCTGTGACTGCATCATAACAAAAGTAAGTTATAGCAATATCCTCTTTATGTCCTCCTTCGTATGTTTTGTCAACATAAGCTCAGTTCATGTTTGGAACTGCGTCTTTGAATCACATCCAACTGTGAAACCTCTTAAAATAACGAAGAAACCTAAAGCTACTTCTTGTAGCTTTGCCTTTGACGTGGCTTTCATACTTGAGTTTATTTTGACGTGATGAGATACTAAACAGGCACTCATTGGTTCTATGAAATTTTCAGGCTGGACCGGGCACAATTGCAGAAGCATTGATTAGAGGGCTTCCCATAGTCCTGAATGACTATATCCCCGGACAGGTGGGTGATTAAATTGTTCTCCTCATTGCTATTCAGTCTCTTCCTTTTTTAATTATAATGGCGTACTAATTCTTAGCTTGAATGGTGGAACAGGAAAAGGGTAACGTGCCATATGTGGTAAACAACGGAGCTGGTGTCTTCACCCGTAGTCCTAAGGAAACAGCAAGAATTGTGGCCGAATGGTTCACCACAAAATCAGATGAGCTGAAAAAAATGTCAGAGAATGCACTTAAATTAGCACAACCTGAGGCCGTGTTTGACATCGTGAGGGACATTAATGAGCTTGCCCAGCAACGAGAGCCAGCAAATTTTCCATACTTGTTGACCTCATCATTTACTAGCCTGATCTAATCAACTAGTTGTGCTTCATTCACATTAGCTTTCTTCCATTAGAATTGACATGTACAGTTTAGTTTTTTTCTGATTATATCATTCTTTATCCTAGTGGCTTGGTTTAACTAGCATGAGCTACAAAATTGTGGTGAACAAGCTCAGGCTTTATAAGAATTAAAGGTGCTTGTGATTTTTAACATTAATGAGCTTGGGTTGTCTGTAACTGCAAGATGATTTAACATTCTACTGTGCATTTCAGTTTAATGATTTTTTTTTTTTAATTTTTTCTCTGGAGTTTTATTTAGCACTAAAATGTGGCTTTGTAGCGGGCTTCTTTACAAGGCAATATACGTTATCTACGGCTATCCTTTGGGAAGTGCGTCATATAATTTATTGTCTTGGAAAATTGAGTAGTTTGCTGTTATAGCATAGCTTAAAAATGAGAACCAAAGGAAAACATGAAGCAATGTGTGCACAATTCTAAGGTCAGTCATCCTTGTTCAGAAGTTGCTCAAGTTGTCATTTTTCATTGCAACAATTTTTTGACCGAAGCTTTAACTATATTTTCTTATAGTATTTTTCTTTTGATGGTTTAAATCCTTTATGTGGAATATCCTTTCGTCTTGAATGTTATTTAAAGGTTATAGATAGCTTGAAGATAGAGTTTTGGGATTTTCTTCAAATAAACCATTAATAGTTTATTATGATATTTGCTAGGATTTCTACTTGTAAAAAAACAAATCTTCTACAAAATACTTGTATTCAATTTTTTGAAACTTGTAGCGCATTCCAATTTGTCTTCCATGAATTCTTCTGCCTTGTTTGAATCCATATAAACCATTTGTGGTGATAATTTTCTTCTGAAATAGTTCTAAACACATTTTTGAGCATTCTTCTTTTGATACAACATCTACTTTGTTTATGGAACATTGTTGAGACTACTTTTGCAACTTTTATCTAAATTGCAATTTTTAGACATTTTTTTTATCACATGTAGTTTTTGATATAATCCCGCACTTTGATTTTCGACCACTCAATCCATCTTTTGACATTGGTTTTGCTCATATGCAAGTTCTGAACTTGTCTCACTTTGAACTTCTAAAACATGCACGACGTATGCATGCATTCGAGAATCGTCTGCCTACAGAAGTAGCAGAGTTTACTTTTTGTGCTTCTAGACACTTGCATACATTGGGGGTGATGACTAGAAAATATTACTTGTTTTATTCTTAAACATCTTCTCAAAGCAGTACCAATAGTTGAAGTGTTCTAAAATATGACTTGCTTAGAACAAAAAAACAATAAATAAAATAATAAAGAAACCAATGTTTTTTAACAACCCCAACATCAAAGAGCTATGAATTACATGTTTAGAATTTAGGGTTTACGGTTTAGGGTTTAAGGTTTAATCCATTAAAAGGAGATCTAACTAGATTGAGAAACATTAAATAAAAACATAGAGAGAAGGAAAAAAGGTAACATTACTCCATAGATCCTTTAAGAATTTGAACGACTTTCAACCTATAGTCTTCATGTGTTCAAAGTTCAAGGGAAAAAAAATAAAATAACATTGCCCTAGGATGATGAAAACAAGCACAAAGTTTCCAAATGTGTAAAATGAAGACTTTTTATATAGGTGAAATCTTGCGCTACCGCTTGATACTCACATTGCCGCCCAAGTGTTAAAACCTAATAATGTATTTTCACCTTAGACTCCTCTAATCTCATGTGACCGGACTTTTGTCTTGGATTTCCATGATTCTCATGTTTCAAGAATAGTTTCCTATCCTTGGAACGACCAAGTTAATCCTTTCTCTTGATCTTATTTCTTATAGATCAAAAATTCATCTCTTGCTCTAATGCATGAAATCAAAGAAAATAAAATTAGAATTAAAAATTCTCATATTTAATCAATTTATGTCATTTTTCTAAAAATATATATAATATTTTGAAGTACAGCCAATATTAAAAAAAGAAGTATAATATATTAAGTTTTATAAACAGATAGTTTGAGAAGTGGTTAGATATCACACTCTCATAGGACCGGTAGTTGTTGACGCAATCACAATATGTTTTATCTTATGAAAATGAAGACAAAGAGAGAAAGGGGCACAAACCGCTAATATAATCTTGTCCATTAAGTTTACGTACGCGTTAAATGACAGTGGACTTGAGGGGTATGATATTGATTTGTATATATGAATTGTAATAAATATATAGAAAGGCATTGAGTTTGAGAGTTTATTGTCAGCACACGACGATTGACTATTATAATCCCAAAATACATGATGTGAACGAAAAGCACATGCACTTGACATGTTATGTTACATAAGACAATCAAACAAAACAGCACTATTGTTTCCAGCTGTACTTTCCTCTTGCATTTCATCGTGTCTTCCATCTTTTGTTCCTGCTGTTTTGAGGGTGTCTAGATGAAAAATCATTGTCAAAGGTAGGAGGAAATGATTTTCTTTTTTTCGGTAAGTTTCTGATTAAATTAAAATCTATTGCCAAAACCATGTGGACCATTATTCTAGTTCTTTTATATGTAAGGATTGCTAGATTTGGTTGGTCTACCAGCAAGTAATAAACCAGGGATATTTAAATTTGGCATTAGAATTTAGAATTCAATGCGTGGAAAATGATCCCTCTAGGCTTACATGTCAGAGAAAGTTCGTCTTAAGTACTTCCAAGGGAGAAATGTATTGCTGATGCAGTGATGCATACCTTTCTCTTCATAAACCCCAAAGTGACGAATGATATTATAGTATGCTATGTTTTGATGACAACGGATGTCTATTAATAATAATGCCAGGTTAAAGAAGCATAAATACTAATGATAAAATATCATACCAACAATGAGTTTTCTTGTAACTCAATTAACTTGACTCGGATTACGCGACCTAAATAAAAAAGAAATCAATGAAAAGCATCATATTATAATAAAGAAATTGAAGAACCAAGTTGATCAATCTAATATATTAATATGAAGACAAGAATTGTACATAGGAAAACGCTAAACAGTGCGAACTCTTTTAAACGAGATATAATAACAATACATGTTATTCTTTGGAAATTTTTTTCTCTCGTATATGTTGGTTCTTGATGCCACCATGTTTACTAGAGGTGAGTAGATGGTTCAAGTCCTATAGGCTGGCCTTTAAGCTTGTGAACTTTGCGGATAAGAGATTTTTTTTAAAAAAAAATTGTATAATTATATTTAATTTTTGAATCTTGGTCTATAGTAAAGTTTATAAATTTGACAGACTTATCTATGAACTCTTAGGTTAACTTTTATTAATTAATTTTTAAGATATTAAGACTATAATATATATATATATATATATATATATATATTTTATTC